GAAATACAAGGACAAGAGACCGGTGAGCTGAGCTGACTTGTTTTGGATGAAACAGGTTTCAAGAACCTCGAGATCTTTTCGTTGTGTACGAAACTGTTGGGGTTGAGGGATGTGGAGCCGGGGCATAATGGGACGGAAGGGTTTTGGGAGAGGTGGCTTGGTCTAGATGTTAGTACGAGTATAGAGGATAGAGAATGATGTTGTACTATGTATCTGATGACGGCAAGTCATATTGGCAGTATGTTGAATGATGGCGATAGACTAAAGGGGTGGGATTCGGAAGGGCGTGTACGATGGCTTTGTGGTTGCAGTCTCAAAAGTTGCACCTTGGGGCGATTCCTTGGAGGTTGGTCAATGCGTACAAAGGTTCAAGAAGCGAATGCATTTGCGCAAACCCTCTCACAAGATTCTATACACAAAAACAAAATGATAGAAGAATGAATAAATAAGCAAATAACCGTGTCGACATAAAAAACACCCATTCCTTCCCTCTCCCTCTCTCCCACCCCCTCAAACTCTAACCACTCTACGCGCTCTAAGCACTATCATCCCTCCACATACTCTTAAACCTCTTATTCCCCGGCCTCTCTCCACCAACAGCTTCAATCTCGTCCGCCACGGGTTTACCGCCGGCGGCAGTCTCGACGTGCTCGACTTGGCCGCGGAGACCCTTCTTTTCGTCTTTGGCGACGACGGTGGCGAGGTCAAAGTCTTTCCATTGACGGGTGGGGATACGGGCTTCCATCATGAAGCTGTTGTCACGTCAGCTTATAGCTTTTGAGGGGAAGGGGAAGGGGGGGAGGGGGCTTACTTGATCTCCTCCAAAGTCCTGCCCTTCGTCTCCGGAATATAGAAGAAGACGAAAGCCACGCTCAAAAACCCTCCGACGGCATAGATGAAACCGATCATAGGTCCCAACCCGGCATCTGCGGGCTGGAACAAGTAGGGGAGGGTGAAGGTGACGACCCAGGCGGAGAACCAGAAGAGGGCGGTACCGATGGAGAGGTGTTTTTGCCGGTTACGGCCGGTGGACATTTCGGCGGCTACGACCCAGGCGAGGGGACCCCAGGAGAGGTTGAATGCGAAGACTGTGGGACATGTCAGTTTTTTTTGGAAGAAGAGGAGGAGAGGATGGGCAGGGGGGTGTACCGTAGAGACAGATCATGGCGGCGACGGCTTTTCCGAGGGAAGGGTGCGCGGCGAGGTAGGGTTCGAACTTGTCGCCCTGGCCTGCTACGGCACCCATACAGCCGACAATGATGAGGGTGATGAACATGAAGATACCACTGCCCCTTTCCATCAGCTTGTCTCCTCAAACAGGGGTGAAGAAGGGGAGGGACGTTCGTGTAAATCAATAAAGGTCGTCGGCCATATCGCTCCACGATAAAGAAACTCGCAATAACACCCAAGACTTCAATACAGTCGACAATGATGGTGATGATGAAGGTGTCTTGGATACCGACGAGGGCGAAGAAGGTGGTGGTGTAGGAGAAGATGAACTGGACACCGGAAATTTGTTGGGAGACGAGGATACCGACAGTTGCAAAGAATTTACGGCGTTCGACGGGGTTCTCTGTCACATTGCGTTAGTACTGGACAAGAATAGGAGGAGGGAGAGGACGTACTCCACAGGTCGGACCATTTCGATTCACTGCTAGAAGCCTCAGCTTCCTCCTCTCGACTCTTTGTGAGAATCGCCATCTGCTCGGAAACGAGAATATCCTTGTAATCCGACCCGCCGTGGATCGTCATGAGCGCCTTCTCGGCCTTGGCTTCTTTGCCGTGGTAGAGCAGCCATCGAGGGGATTCGGGGACGATGAAGAGGACGCCGACGAGGAGGACGACCCAGACGAGGTTGAGGGCTACGGGGATACGCCACGAGCTGCAGGAGTGTGAGCCTTGGGTAAAAGATGATAAAAGAAGAAACTTACGCGGTAGATTCCATAGTGTGCGTACCAAGACCGACGGCGGCACCGATAACCTGACCCACAGCCAACATCAACTGCCAACTAGACACACAGGCACCACGGATCTCCATGGGCGGGATTTCGGACAAGAACAAGGGGGCGGCGTTGGAGATGATACCGATACCTGCACCGGCGATGAGACGGCCGACGGTGAGGAGGGCGGAAGAGCCGACGACAATCATTTGGAGGACGACGCCGATGGCGAGGAGGGTGATGGCGCTGGCGATACCACCTTTACGACCAGAGTAGTCACTGAAAACAGGTGTTAGACGCGTCGGAGGAGGAAGAGAGGTGCGACTCACCCGATGGGACCGGCGGCAAGGGAGCCAAAGATCTCTCCGACTTGGATGATGGAGACCCAGAGGGATTGGTTGCCACTCGAGAGCTCGTATTCACCGTCGCTGTTCAGTTGACCGAATTGCCTGACTACGCGACTGTTTTAGCGCGTCTCTGAGATAATTTTGAAGGACATACCAAAGACGGGGGTTTCGAGCAGAGAGGTGAAATAAGTACCATCGTAACCATAGGCGATGGGACAGATACTGATGAGAGCACAGATGGCGATAGGACGTCGATAGTCCTTCTTGAACCAGTCACCCCAGCTGGAGAGACCGCTGCCTTCTGTAGATACAGCCGCGACCATTGTTGTTGGATGAGTGATGGAATGAAAATGTTTCCGTTTGACGTTATGTGGGTGTTGGGGCCGGGGTGGGGGGCTTGGGGCTATTACGGAGGCGGGTAGGGGCTACGGGGGGCAGGGCGGGAGGTGTGGGGGAGCCCAGCTGGAGAGACAACTAAGCGAGCCGAAATATCTCTAGTCGGTGCCTCGAATTCTTCCACTGCCGCCTGCCGATGAAACTGCCGATGCGCGGCCCTCGCCACCATCGGCATTCGTATCACAGCTGTTTTTGGCCATCTTCTACGAGCATAAGATACAAGCGTACAGGTACAGGTATGCAGAGAGGCAGAGGCCAACGCACATACACGTACGGCTAACAGAACAACGGATTCAAATCCCTACTCCGCGCTACCATCTCCCTGAATTCCATACACAGCCCCCGTGCCTGAGGCACCACCCTCGCCCTTGATCGGCGCTTTGTTTGGTCCCAGAGAATGCATCACGAAAGTGAGGTAGCGTCTGACAATGGTGTAGATATAATTTTCAAGAGGGTTCTGAAGAAACCTCTCATCCATGGGGTTGTCCGTAATGGGCTGTTGTTGGGTTCGGTTCATCTGCCCGCTCGCTGCCAGAATGCCCCAATCATTCTCTTCCAGGCAGCGCAGTCAGCAATCTTACCCCCCGCCTCCTTCTATAGTAACCAGGTGGCGCCCCTCGCCCATTCCACCCACCGCCAGCCCGGTCGACACCTCCCTTCCCTCGAAAGCGTCCCTTCCCCCGATACTTCCGCAATTGCTTGCCAGTCTCCGATCACTCCCCAATCCCTTACCCCTTCAATAATATATCGAGGTTTTAACTGCAATGGTATGAATACTTGCGCGATGCTGCTGGCCGCGATCCATGACCCCCGGGTCGCTTACCTGCTCGCGTTTTCGTGACCGGATTTTCTTGCTTCAGCTCATCCATCTCCACAGTCTGGGAATAGGCAGAAGTATTCGTGAGAGTGTATAGCAAGCTTACAAGATGCTTACGTGGGTGCTTGTGGCTCACTGTACAAGGCATGGGACGATGTAGTTCTGCGTGACCGATCAGGGTATCTGTATCAAAGGACGTATGGGAGGATCCGATGGATGGACATCTGTATGTACGATAAGTGTGTGATGTCCCGTCTTGCACCATACTATTCATCAGTCTACTCATCAGGTGGCGACTGTCAAGCACACATGACACAGCTGCTATGTACTACCGTACAGTATTCACGGAATGCCATCAAGCCCCAGTACTCTAATTGTACAGCGTACACCGTCTCTTGTTGCTACCCGATCCGGAATGATATGTTGTATATACAGTGTATAGCACTGACACCCATTGGTATACAGTCCGGGACGTCCAGAACGACCTGTCATCTCTGTTAGAAGTGTCCTTGACTCGGTCGCGCGCTCATGTGCTATGCAAGACAAGGGATCCCGGGAGTATATGCATACACTGGTGTGTCCAGGGGGGGTTCATTCTCCTATCAGAATCATATCTCTGCCTGGCATTTGAAGCTGGTATCTTTTATACCCGCATCACCGGCGCCCCACAACTCCTCTACCGGCGGGACTGGGCGCACCTCCTGAATGCTCTGGGCGACATTTATATCTCCGATGACGAGCTGGGGTCTACCGGGGGGAGTAACGTGAGGGACGCCGTTGATCCAGGAGGTGCAGGTGTCTTTGACGTCTGTCGCTGGGGGGCTGTCGTCGCGGGTGTAGGGTCGGTAGTCCATGGTGTGATGATGATCCTACGTTTGAGATACTGTATATACCTCAGATTAGCGTTGCAGAACTATAGACTGTCGTATATATATTGGGGAGGTGTTTGACAATGAGGAAGGTTTGGATCTGCTTCTTTCCCCCCACTTATAACATGGCATGTATAGCGAGAGGACACAAAGTGAAAGAGTGGACTGTATTGAAGACTCATCACTCCTTGCGTTTCTGGTATCGTGTATGGTCGTGTGTTGCATTATACATTTACAAACTTGTCCCCGAATCCCTTTTATCCTATCTAGTCCTTGTCCTCGTTCTCATTCTTCGCCTCGTCGAAACAGATACAGACGGCAGCTATGAGCGCAAGGTCGACACCGGGCGCAACATTAACCATGTACTATAAACCTCATCAGCTTCCCTTCTTAACCCCTTCTGAAGAAAAAGGATACTCACAGTCTGCTTGTCACCAAAGTATTCTCGGGCATTGAAGACCTTTCTCGTAATCTGCGCGACGACGGGTCCGTTGTCGACCTTGATATCGGCCGAACCTCCCCAAAAGTCACCGCGGAGGACGAGGGTGGTGTCTTGCCCGTTGGAAGCGTTCTTGAAGGTGGCGACCATGTGAGAACCGACTATTCCATTGAATCAGTATGTGCGAAGGAAAGAGGAGAGTGGGGGAAAGACGTACCACCCCATTTCTTGCTGATCTTGAAAAGGTCATTTCCCTCCTTGTCTTCGCCGACAAACGTTTTGTGGATGGCGATGAGCTTGTTGCGGATGGCAAACATGAAATTGCCGTGGGCGTCGGAGATCTCTGTGAAGGTAATTGTGAGCTGGAGAACAGGCGAGGAAGAGGTGGGAGACGGTACCCTTTCGGTCACGGAAGGAGACGGCCTTGCCGGAGCACTTGACGACGGTGTGGCCCTCAGTGTCTTTGACGCTAAAGTTGTCCTAGAGCCAAGGTCAGCTTGAGTTTTCCGGGAGGTAGATGAAGGGACGTACACCGGTCCATGAGAAGACGCTCTCCTTGAGGACGAGGGTGGTGGGTTTCTGGGCGGTGTGGTTAAGGTGGACGCCGAGAGGAGGCGAGACGGGCTGGAGGTCGACGGCGTCGTTGGCGAAGAAGAGACCCATGGTGACGTGTTGTGTAGTTGAAAGGTAAGATCAAGAATAAGAATAAATAGTAATAATCAGAATGAGAAAGAGATGAACAAAAGAAGGCGATGCGTCGGTAGTTAGCGTGTTCGTATCTTATCGCTTACTTACGTCATGACGACGCGTGGGCCCGGCCTTTTGCTCCCGCTTGTTGATCGATTATTGACAAGTTGAAGGTTCCGTCTGTCGATCAGACCGTAGACAGCTTGCAAGTGTCTCACGAGCTCAACCTTGCTCTGCAGCAAAGAAGAAGCGCGAATTGCTACGCGATGATCTTGGAGAGTCTCTTTTGTCAGCTATACTGGGATCAAGGGACGGGCTATCAATAGAGCTCAACAGAAAGAGCGACAGCCCGACCTTTCCATTTCCCTTTCCCTTTGTTGCCATTTTGACATTTGAAAGACAAGGTTTGATTGCCTTCATGTCAGACTATCACAATTGCTGCACGTTGACAGGAATGTACTATTTCGAGATGCTTGTCACTTTGACATTGACCGGAAGTATGATGAATGTGAAGAGGAGTCGTGGGATGGATGGACGTCAAGTGGATGATGAGAATGCCATGAGTGGTAAAGACAGCGAGGACTATGATGACGATATCAAGGATGCAGTGCAGGTTACATATTGGGAGGCCAATAGAGAGTCACAGAGGCAGATGGAGAATGAGATTATAGAGAGTTTTGAGATCGTGCCATACGTAGGCTCGTGCTTGCTCCTCCTGAATGGGCGGGCGATATAGGTGGTCTCTAGCGGCGCCATACTTACTCTTGAGTTGAATCATGTCATGTCGTTGTGCCTATATCACCATGATCAAGCTGCGGTCAAATGGTTATGTATAGACTGATAGCTGGATTGAGCAGCAGAATAGAATAGGTGGAGAAAGTGAAGTGAGAAGGCATGTGTCGAAAAGGTTCCAAGCTGAAAGATGCCGAAAACGATTCGACTGTAAGTGAGATATCGATACATACATCTTACAACACAACACTGCAAAATCCACATCGCCCCTGAACATGTTTCACGTTTCCTTCTGCTTCTCGCTACTCTTGTGTCTACACCAACACCCTTCTCAACTGCCCCGGACCCACCGCCACGCCTGTGATAGGACACCGCCCTCTCCGCCCTTTCCGACTCTTCTCTTGCTCCTCCTCCTCCTCCTCCTTCAAACCATCATCCCCTTCACCCTCGCCAGCGCCTTCTCCTTCTTCTTCTTCGTCGTCGTCGTCGTCGTCACCCTCTACAGCTTCCCATCCACATCTCCAACAAACGACCCATCCACTCGGCAAGACTGCGGGGTTCTGCCATTTTTTCCGACAGAGCGGGCATTTGCCGTAATCTGCCTTGTCCACTTTGAATTCTTTTCCCTCTATCTCTTCTTTCTCTCCATTCTCGCTTCCATAAATATCGGGAGGGCTATTGTCGGAAGGCAGAGGTGTCGTCTGGGAAGAAGAAGGGATAGAAACAATGGAGGAGGAGGAGGAGGGCAAGATGGGTAAAGGCCGAGGGGGCAGGATAGCAGCGTGCGTTTTGGAGGTCGTATTCTTCTCTGTGCCGAGTACCGAACTTGTGCGAGGAGAGGAGGGCGAGTACCACCATTGTGAGAGCTTCAACAGGAGTAGAAGCGGTGGGAGGAGAGGGGGTAGGTAGGAGGAGATGGACGAGGTTTGGATCTGGAATTATGGTCAGCTTCTATGTCCCGGAGGAAGGAGAGGAGAGGGGAGAGGGGAGAGGGGAGAAGGGGAGAAGGGGAGAAGGGGAGAAGGGGAGAAGGGGAGAAGGGGAGAAGGGGAGAAGGGGAGAGGGGAGAAGGGGAGGGCGTACTTGATCTTCCGGCGTAGCGCGTAATACTCTGAGCTTAAGCCACCGATGCCACGGACGGTAGTACTCTGTTCTTTCAAAGAGGTAGAGCATGTCGTTGAGGAGGAATGAAGCGTCGAGAGCGGTGTTGGCGTAGGGGTATATACGTTTGAATGCGAGTTGTGTCTGGTGGTTCATGAGCGACTTGCCTATCGATATGTATGAGGGGCGTACGATGGTGAGCCCGCGTGGATCGCCTCCTAGCCCCTCATCTCTGGAAGCGTCCTCGCCAACGTCAACGTTTGCCAAGCGTTCATAGTAATCCTGCGCCCTCGCGCGCGCGTAGGGCAGGCCCACGAGGAAGAGCAGCATCAACCATCTCTGTCTTCTGCTCAGACCCTGGGAGCGGAGTGGGGAGATGGATGATAAGTGTGGGAGGTGGGAGGAGGAGAGGGAGGGGTGGGGGGCGAGGCGGAGGCCGTAGAAATGTTCGGATATGGATGCGTCTAGGATGTCGGATGTGAGATATGCTTTCAAATATGGTTGGGGGACGTACTGTGTTTCTTCAAATGATATCTCTGAAGCAGCAAGAGGAGGAAGGCATATGTCTCCTCATGATGGTTCACCAGCCGCAGAAAATAACGTGGATACTGCTGGGCGAGGTAAGAGAGGATATAGCGGAGGACGGGGTGGAAGAGGTCTGTGAGCTGGTCTTGGGCGAGGAGGTCGAAGAGGGAGGGGCGGAGGAAGCCGGGCGCGGGGGAGGGGGGGAAGAGGGACATGAAGAGTGGGAGGAATGGGGGATGGTGGTAGAGAAGAGTGGACCCAACAATCCAGAGATGCGAATGGTAGTTACGTAAGCATACCTGTGCGAGTCAACAGCCACCGCACGAGTACGACATTCAGTCTATTCACACGACGTTGTCTGGCTGAAATTCTCCAAGGAAGTGTCCTCTGAGGGGGTGGCTGGTGGTTGGGGGGTAGGGGGCATGGGAGGAAGCGAGCTGCACATGCAAGGGAGGCGTTCTCGCTGAGTCTTGGTAGCAACCGGACGACCCTAGATATAACGGTGACTAGCACGTGCCTGAAAATGCTTCCGTGGATTCTTGCATCATGAGCCTTGTGTCCACACAGACTGGGTAATTTCCAGCGACATTTCTGGAAATGTCTCATCTCATCCGCATCGACAACACCACGACACAGAGCAACAGATGTCGAAGAACCCGGCCTTCCCCCCGACCCACACCGCCCGAACACAGCCTTCCCGCCCGAACAGCTCCTTCGCGAGCCTCTCCAAGTTCTTCAAATTTTCCAAGTCTTCTTCCTTCCCCGACGAACTAGATAGCGAGCAAGACGACCATGCTTCCCCCCCAGACACAGAAGAGGCCGAAGATGAGCAAGCCCTCATGTGGGATGCCCAAGTGAGTCCCCTCCCTCCCTCTATCGCCGCCAGATACTGACACCCTTATCTCTTTCTCTCGTCATAGATTGCCCTGATAGAGCACCAGCCAAACCTCGCTATGAAGCTGTACGCCAAAGCTGCACTGCCGCCGCATGCTTCCCCGGCGGCGTGTCTTGCGCTGGGGAATCTGTTGATCAGGGGGTCGGCGGTTATGGAGGCGACTTCGACGCTTTCGATGGAGCGGCCTGTCTCGCCTGCGGCTTCTACTCGTGCTGCTGAGAAACCGTATGCGACTTCCTTCTGGTCCCGATTCTTTGCCCCTTCCTTTTCCCCTTCCCCTTCCACCTCCCCTTCCCCTTCCTCGGCAAACGCACTCTCCCCGCCACTATCGCCCTCCGCCGCGAGGAAGAAACACGACCTCATCGCTGCCGGCTGGCACATACCCAGAGAAGGCAAGCGCGCAGTCCGGGATGTGGAGGGGATGGGCGTTGCTGGGGCTTGGTTTGTGCTTGGTTTGGGGTGGGCGGTGGAGCGGGCGAAAGAGAGGCAGAGGGTTGTTGCTGCTGCTGCTGCTGTTGCCGCTGTTGACGAGCAGGGAGAGTATTTGGTGGGGAGGAAGGGGTCGAGTGATGAGGAGGCGATAGTGTTTGGGTCGAAGAAGGGGAAAGGCAAAGGGATGCAGATGCCTCTGGCTGTAGAATCGCCAAGTACGCCAGGTCTCGCGGCTTCCTCAGGCGCCAACACCTCTGCAACGGACGATTCTATCGAGACGCCGCGTGAACCGGCGGGAGGGCTGTTTGATAAAGTAGACGATGTCGATGCCGAGCTTTTGAGTGTCATCGTACGTCTCCTTCCTTCTTTCCTTCCTTCGTGGTCTTGAGAATTGAGCTGATGGGTTGGGATAGTATGAGCTCCTCCGACCTTTACTCCGTCTTTACCGCCATGGCCATATCCAATCCCACGATCCCGTCGCCCTCCCGCCCATCTCGCTCCAACAACTGCCCCCCGCGCTCAAGCCGAGGACAGAGATGGAGAAAGGGCGGAATGTGTGGGCGTTGGGGAGGGTGGTTTGTGGGAAGGTGAAGGAGCTGGGACTTGTTTGTGATAGGAGAGAGAAGGGAAAGGGGTCAGACCAGGTTCGGAAAGCGGTTATGGTTTTGACAGACTACATCGTACGTCACCCCCCCTCCCACCTCTATTGACTCAAGCTGATAAGCCCTTTTAGCTCGCCATGACATGCCCCCCATTCCAAGCCGCATTCCACTTCCGCCACATCGCTTCAACATCTCTGATAGGACTGGAAGTAGCAGATGACTTGATCGTGCAAGCTGGGAAGAGGCTCAAGACGATCGTGACGGGGACGCCGAGGGATGAGGCGGGGTTGGGCGGGTTCCCGTTCCCGGCGCTTACGCCTACGCCGAAGCGGGCGGTGGCTTCGCGGCGAGGGGGCAGGACGCCTGGGGATGGGAAGAAGGAGAACGAGAAGGAGAGGACAGCGTCGATTACGTCGTTGGCGTCGATGTTGTCTCCGCCGAGGATACTGCACTCGACAAAATCGACAGCTTCGCTCGTGGCGCTCGCAGACCCCGAGCCCGACAATGAGCTCCAGAGTCCTGTCCCCTTGTCGTCTGAGGCGAAAGCAGGGGGGGCGGTGGAGACGCTCAAGAGGGTGCAGGTGAAGAATGGTGTTTGGGATGGTGTCGAGTGGCCCGGAAAGGAGGGGAAGGGGAAGAGGACGATGGGGAGGAGGATATCGGCTGGGGAGGTTGATGGGGAGGTGGAGCAGGGGTTGGGGCTTGATGTGCCGAACAAGACGATCAGGGCGGTAGCGTCTTCACCTCAACTTCCCTCCCTTCTCTCCGTCCCTCCTTCGCATACCAACCGCCGACGATTACCATTCGAACCTTCTCAACACGACGCGATCATGCCGATAGACCCCGCCCTCGCCGAAGCAGAGAGACGGAGCGCGTTGACGAAGAATGTAAAGTGCGGGGTGTGTATGATGAAGGGGGTGAACTTTCCGGAGTGTAGGAGGTGTGGGATGACGTTTTGTGGGAGGGAGTGTAGGGTTGGGGAGGAGAAGGCTGGGAATGGGAAGAGGTGAGTTTTTTTTCTTTAGCGAGGTGTGTCTGGGGTGTTGCTGACTGGAGGTGGCTAGACATATTTGTGGAGCATGGGAGTCTAGGAAGTTGCTGAGTGTCCCGACGGCGGCGCCGGGGAGACGGTCGGGCTCGAATGGGGGTCTCGCGACGTCGCCGAGGGTTGCAAAGGTCTACTAGTGCTAATGATGATAGTATTACTGTAACGATTTGTATAATAGTCATAGCATGTACATATTGCATGGATCTGTACGCACATCTCTAAGTTGTGATGTTGAGTGACGATGAAAGAGGAGATGGGCGGTGTCACGTGACCTGATGACGCGGTGTTGCATCTTTCTCTATCACTCGTTTCTTGTCACGACTCGGTCTATCCGCCATGTCGGCCTCATCGGAAACCCTCGAGAGCCTCCTCGCCATGGGCATCGAGCCTGTCCTCGCAAGGGAGGCATCGTCCAGGTTTCATACTGCCGACGCCGCTGTCAACTGGTGTTTTGGAGATGGCGCAGATGTAAGTCTGTCCCTTTGTGCTGGAAGGAGATACTGATGGGAGGGTGCTAGTGGAAGCCAGAGGTGGCAAGAGATGCTGCCCCGGGGTATAGCACGTCGTTCAATCCCCGGCATAGCGAAGGTACTTTCAGTGCGTATCTCGAGTTCAAGTGGCTGGAAGGAGGTGCTGATGGAGCCGACAGTCCAACACCGAGAAGTAGTCGACGTCGCCGACTCCCCCGCCGCATCCCCCAAACCATCCCAATCCCAATTCGCATCCAACAACCCCTTCCGGACATCGCCTTCCGTCCCCGCCCGACCGACGACGTCGACGACGTTGGCTGCGCCAGGCTCGTCTGCGCGTGAAGCGATATCGGTGGATGATGAGGATGATCAACTGAAGAAGGCTATTGCGCTGTCGCAGGGGCAGGGGCAGGGGCAAGAGGGGAGGGGGAGGGGGAGGGCCGATGGGCCGCCGCCGCCGAGTCCGAGTGGGGGGGTTGGCGCTGAGCCGGATATCGCGCCGCTGTTTGGGCCGAGTACTAAGGAGGATACGGGGAATATGTCGCTGGTGCCGTCAGGCCAGGTGAGTTTCTCTTCTCATGCTCGGGGGGTTATGCTGATGGAGGGGAAGAATGACCATGGGCGATCAAAGGAAGACGCCGAGATGGACAAGGCGATTATGGATTCGTTGATGACTGCTAGCTTCCATTCTGCTTCGGCACAGCAAGAGAAGGATAAGCCTGTTCCCAAGCAGCGGGAGGAAGGAGCGTGAGTCGACCCCATAGCAGCTTTCTGGAGAGGACTGACGAGGATGTAGCCCGGTGGTGTTTTACTCTGAATCAGGCAAATATACCCCGCTTGCGCATATCCTTCAGGCATACGGCGCCATCCGAGAACTGCGTGAGATCTATCATCGTGTTGCCCTTCCGACATCAGACGGTGTAGTCGAGCCGAGTCAGTCTCACCCGCTTTGCTACTTCAATCGCGCTGACCCATGTCACAGGGATAGAGTCACTGGCTGGTCTTTTCGACAAGAACGATCTTGATGCTCAGAGCTATACGGACGCGGACGGGGCCATCAAGTCTGCTAAGAACGGAGCTTCAGTTACGCTCTTACCGCCACTTGGTTCTGCGCTGGGTACGTTTCTTCCAGGCCCATATTGTGTCTATCCTGACGACTTGGCAGAGTTTCACGAAATGTTGGCAGATGAATTCAGTTTGCATATCAAGGTCAAGACGTTGGAGAGTACAGGCGAGGAGAAGGAGTTGTATGGGCAATACTCAAGGTGCGCCTTTTCCCTCATGTGTAAGAAATGAAAGCTGACATGAAAGTAGAGCATTCGAAACCACCCTCACCTCCGCCCAAACATCCCAAGCGTCATACGTCCAACTCCGAAAAGGGCCCGGCGGGTACGACATCTACACCCAACTCGGCAACCTCTTCTGGCCCCCCTCTTCCTCTTCTTCCGAAGATATGGGTCTGAGCATAATTGAACCCGCCGACATCCTCTTTGTCGGCCTCGGCTATGCCGCAGAGGCCAAGATGGGGGAACTGTGGAAGTTGGATAAGGAGGTTGTGCTGGATAGGTTTTTGGAGAGGAATAAGCTTTGGGCGGCGAATAGGCGGGGGTTGCAGGGTGTTGCGGAGGGGGATTTGAGGAGGGGGGAGGAGAAGATGGAGAAGCTTTTGAAGCATGAGGTGAGTTTGGGCTCGTGAAGTTTGGAGAGGCGGTAGAGCTGATGTGGTGGTAGGGAAATGATACGCTGGAGAGTCTTGGTAGACTGCTGAAGCATCTTGATACGACGATCACTTCTTCAAAGTCTTCTCGCGCCCAGTCTCAACAGATACTGCGTGATAAAGTACGTCTTTCTCTCTATCGTCCTGGATCCTTGGCTTATACCAATTGATAGGTCTCGACCGTGTACGAAGCTCTCAAGGCGCGGAGAGAGTCACTGGAAGTGGAGTTGGAAGGGCATAGGAAGGCGGCTTCGGCGGGTGCGTTCGATACAGATGATCCCGAGTATCTGCAGCATGTCGTAAGTCATGCCTTCAAGTCCCCTCCTACTGCTGTTTATTGACCATCTCTTCTTGCAGTACGACCTCAAAGCAGTACTCTTTCACGACGGCGCTTTGGTGGGTAACGACCATCTCTACGTATACGTCAAAGGCGACGATGGGCGGTGGTGGAAGATCAAGGAGCATGAGTGTACACAGGTGAGTTATATAAGTCGGGCGGTGGGAGAGGTGGTACTGATGGGGGATGTAGGTTTCGTGGGAGGCGATTAGGGACGATCGGACGGGGATTTGGATGGAGGGTGGGCCTTATGCTGTAAGTCTGACGTCTTTGATGGCGGGGTGTAGAAAGCTGATTTGAGGTTTAGTTGGTGTATGTTAGGACGAGTCCTCGGCCGCCTTCGCCATCGTCTTCAACGGCAGCCAACGATACTACTACGTCTACTCAACCGCAATCGACGCTCCAGGCCGATATCCCTAGCGAAAACAGCTCGACCGACAGTCTTGGGTTGTCCCTCGGCGAATCAGCACCAACCCCGTCCGCCCTGTCGGAAGGTGGGAAAGAAGAGAAAGAGGAGCAGCTTGTCGACTTTGGTGATGACACACCGCCGGTAGAGGGGAAGGGAGACGAGAAGGGCGGGAATGAGGATTTGGTGGATATTGTCATGGGCGAGGAGAGGGACGGTTTCAAGCTCGGGGAAGGAGGGAAGTGGACGCTTTTGGGAAAAGCAGGGGAGAAGGATGAGGAGGAGGTGGGAAGGAAAGAGGAGAAGAGTGCGGGAGCGGAGGCAGCTGATGATGACACTTTGATGTCGTAGGTATATTGGTAATGCACATTCTGTTGTATCTTGCGCTTCCTACGTCTGGCTCTTTTTTTTAAAAAAAATGTAGTCGTAATTCCACACTGAAGGGAGTCGCAAGCAACAGACGATAAGGCGAGAGCGGAGGACCAGATTGGACCAAACAAAGAGGAGGTCGGTGGAGGCGCGGGGGTGTCCGAGAGGCACGATCGGTGATGTTATCAAGCACGAATCAGATCGACATTTCTCTTTTCTTGTAAACGGTATATAGCTCTCGTATTCCCTGCGACTGTCCCCAGCTGTACCATGCGTCTACAACCGGCCTTCGCCGCCCTCCTCGCCCCCCTCGCACTCGCCCAACAGCTGGCCATGACAAACCCCCCCTCCGACGCCATCGCTGCCTCCCACGGCCCTCTCCAGAACCTCATCATCACCGTCAATCTCTCCAACGACAAGCTCGCAGAGGTCAAGACACATTTCAAGCAGGTCCATGTTTATGGAGATGGGGAGAAGGTGCCGAAGGAGATTGCGAAGGAAGTGGAAGTGTGGTACTCGAACAATCTCGGCGTACCCGATTATATTGGGGTGGACGATGTCCCCGAGCTTAAACTTGTACAGCTCACCAGTGGTATGTTACACTTTTATCTTGGCTAGTGTATATGCTGATACTCGGATAGCTGGCGCCAATCTTGCTCTGAAGGGCCCGTTACTCGGCGACAAGGACGCTCAGAAGAGGATTGCGATTTCGTCTGCCTCCGGTAAGTCTCTTCATCTCCTTCGCTAGTGCTATGCTCACACTATACCAGGTATCCATGTATTGAGCATCCCTCAATGGATCCTTTCGCAGACTATCAACTGTATGTCAATGTTCGTTTTCTAGGACGTTTACTGATACTGGACTCGTTAGTGTATCAGCACATTTATCTGCAGACTTTCAACCTCCGCGTACGTTGCTTTCAAACCTCTTACGAAGGAAATAAACTGACGATCTCGTAGACAACCAAGAAGTACTCTCGAGACGTCCCCGAGCTTCCCATCCCATTCGCTTTGTCGGGCAAGACGCTGTACGGCAAGACTGCCGGCCTTCTCGTACGTCCTTCCCTTCCCTTTCTCTGATTGCATCAAGTCTTCGGTGAAGCTGACTATTGGAAAGGGCTACGGTCATATCGCTCGCGAGACTGCCCGACTTCTCAAAGCTTTCAACGTCAACGTCATCGCTGCCAACTCCAACGGCGAGAAGAGGGACGACGAGGGGTATATCATCCCGGGTACTGGGGATCAAGATGGCAAGTACTGGTGGCGTTTAGGCTAGAGGACGTTGCTGATGAGTCTGTAGGATCTATCCCTTCTGCGTACTATTCTACCAACGACCCCGAGTCTTTCAAGACGTTCTTGAACCAGACCGATATCCTCATTGCGAGTTTGCCTTCGACGCCTCAGACTCATTATCTGCTCAACAGAGAGACCTTTTGTGAGTGATCCGTCTCGTTTTCTGGGTCCGGGGTATATGCTGATAGGTTGGGATTAGCTCAGCTGAAGGAGGGTGCTGTGTTTGTCAACGTTGGACGAGGTGATCTTGTCAAGACTGGTGATTTACATTTTCTCTCCTCTCCATCTATCTCATGCTGACCGTTTCATCATAGAGGAACTCATCGCCGCCCTCGACGACGGCTCTCTCTCCGGTGCCGCCCTCGACGTGACCGACCCCGAACCTCTCCCCGACAACGACCCCCTCTTCACCCACCCTCTCGTCACTTTTACGCCGCATACGTCGAGCAATGTGGAGGGGTACTTTGATGTGGGCGCGGATTTGTTGGTGGAAAATGTTAAGAGAATTAGGGAGGGGGGGAAGGTGATTAATAGGGTGGATCCGGAGAAGGGGTACTAAACTAGGCGTGGAGTTGGGGCGAAATCTGAATGGGTTGTCTATCTCGTTGGACCGGGTTGTCATCTCTTTGCGCTTATAGATTATCGAAAAGTAATAGAAATGCATTCTAGCGTACAGTACATATCCCCAAGATTGAACAACAGTTTCCCTCGAGACCTCTAAAGCCGAGAAGCAGAATAAGAAAGCAGATTCTAGGACTAAAGCACGCCCGCCTGTTTCTCGACACGTGCTTTTGTAAGAAGTCCGATTTCGTGAGCAAGGAAATCGCCGGTATCGGGTCTGTGGAAAGATCAGCAAAAGCCCTATAAGATGGAGACATAACGCACCTCGTCCTTGCAATACGCAAAAGCACCTCGGCCATCCTCTCTCCCTCCTGCCCCTCGTCTAGAGCCATACCACGCATACCATCCTCGATCCTCCCAGCGCTTCCCCCAGTCTTTCCAGCAGCCCTGACCGCCGCACTACACCTTTCCTTCAAACTCGGCGTCGGCAAGTCCAAATACTGCCCCAGCATGACAATATCCCGATACGGCCCGGCTTGTAGTTGAGAGAGCGGGACACCGTGCTCGACGCCGTTTTCGGAAGCGTTGAAGAAGGCTTTGATGATCTGGAGCCACTTGAAGACGATGTCGACTTCGGGGGAGGTGAGGGGCTGGGCGTGGGATGGTTTTTCGGAGAGAGGGGGTACGAGGAGGGAGATGAGGGTTTCGATGATGCGGTGCCAGATGTAGAGCATGAGTCGAATGCGGCTGTCGAATGTGAGGGTGACGGAGAAGATTGAGAACTTTTCGGGATTAGCAGAGCTCTAGGGTGGTAATGGTGGACTCACAGTATCGTTGAGATAGTCATACAACGGCAACAAGCTCGTCTCGATCTCATCATCACTAAGCGGCACCTTCCCCCTCTTCTTATCCTTGAGAGGCCTCATCAATGCCTGTATCGTCCCCACACTCAACTGCGCCTTGATAAACTCTCCCATCTTTTCCACAATTCCCCTCCTCATATCCCCCTCCGCCCTATCCAAGGCTCGTCCAGCAACATCAAGGTGATACTGCACGTCGTTCTTCTCGCCGCCTTCCATGCTGATACGGATGTGGATGGTACCGCGGGGAGATAGGGGGAGGACGATATCGCGGGTGGGGGTGGAGGTGAAAGAGCGGGGGTCGAGTTTGAATGAGGCGGTACCGAGGGGTTCGTGTTTGCCGACGAGCTGTCGGTCGAATACTTGTAGTTCGAGGAATTTGATAGCGCCGACGGTGATTTCGAAAGCTTGTTCCCTATACAGAGTCAGCTTTGACTCTATCGATACCTCAACAGACTTACCACTTTGGATCTTCCGCCCCCAAGATCGTCTTCGTCTTGATCCTCCTCTCCCCCGTCCCCTTATCCAAAACAACAACAAACGCATCCGCCCCACCCTTCAGCCCCCTCCCCAAAAGACCCTGGCCGCGAACGACAGTGACGGTAAAGACATGGTTGACGTTACGCTCAGTATGGGGGGTGTCGAGATGGTGGGACTTTACGATTCGGGCAGTGTGGGCGGCTTCGAGGGCGAATGTGAGGTCTTCGAGGCAGGTTTTGGCAGCTCCCATGTCGGTGAGCTTTACGCACGCCTATATCTACATTAGCGCCGGCAGAAATGAGGGAGGGAGGAAGACGTACGGCAGGAGGGACGACGAATCCATCAACCTTCTTCTTTTCCAGACTCTTCACCGCCTGCTGCCCTTTTGCCAACCATGAGCTCGCTTTCCCGCTCAACATCCCTTGATAAGCGGGCTCGGCAGATGGAGAGAGGGAGCGTTCGGGGTTGATATCGTGGACAAAGAGAGCGAGGACGGTGGAAGCGTATTGGTTGACGGCAAATGATACGGTCTGCGGGCGAGGTCAGCTTTCGCAAAGCGGAGAAGGGGGGAAGCATACTTTGGAGTAGTCGATCAGGTAAATGGCACGCTTGTACTCGCTCAACGGCAGGTCGTGAAGGATGATACTCGCCGAGCCACGGATAAAGTCGAATAGGTCGATGACAGACTGACTATGTTTGTTCTCGCCCTCCGGTACCCACTAAATCAAAAGGTCAGCTATCGCTTCACATCATGAGACAGACGACGTACGCTATCCATCCCCACGCTCCTCGCTACCCACCCCTCCACCTCGGACCCTTCCGTCTCTTTCAACCACCCCCTCACAAACGGCTCAAAGAACACATCCAGCTCGAAATCATGTTCCTTATCTCTGACGAGATCTTCCCACAGCTCGAGCAGCTTGCCGGTGGTTTCGTAGAGGGGGAAGATGTCGGACGCTTGGCCAGAGGGGGAAGGGTGGGAGAGGGCTTGGAGTTCGGCGAGGAAGAGGGGGAGTTGGCGGGAGAGGATGATGGCTGCTGGGTTGAGCGCCCTGCGGAAAGTCTAGAGTCAGCTTGATATGCGTAGGCGGGTGTGAAGGGTAACGCACGACTCGAGTCCTCGTCCCCAAGCCTTCTTGACCCCCCTGACTTCCTTCTCCATCCACTTCGCCACCTTCTCCAACCCCTCCACCAATCCCTTATTCTCCCCACCGCCGACGCCGCCCATGTACTCTTCCACCGCCCCGATATACTCGCCTATAGCAGCTCCCACAAGCTCATCCTGCGCATCGCTCAACGTCTTTCTCGAATCCTCCTGAGACGCAAACAAACGCGGCGCAGCGTTGAATAGGATAAGCAGAGAAGGTGGAGGGGGAGGAGGGGGGCGTGAGGAGGGGAATATAGTGAGGAGGTTGGAGGTTGTGAGGGAGAGGAGGATGTGGAGGTATTGGATCATGACTGATGGTAGAGGGTCGCCGGCTTTGAGGTCGGAAGAGATGAGTTTGAGGCCGTCGGCGATAGTTCGCGAGAGAGGGATTTCGTCTGAGGTCCCGATACTGTCGCCCCATCGCCCGACGAGCCCTTCGAGCTCTTTCTCTTTCTCTCGGCGGGAGCTGATGCCCCACACTTCTCGACAACGTTCGAGCAAATCTCGCGTACGCGCGCTGTGGCCCGCTTCGGCGCAGCGAGAAGCGAGGCGGCCGAAGACTTCGACGGTACGGCTGGGGATGAAGAAGAAGCCGGCGCCGCCGCCGGGGACGTCCCGGGCTGGGGAAGCGTATTCGCTGGGGTCGGAGGGGGCGTTGAGGGAGGGAAAGTCGTTGTAGATGTTTGTGAATGCTTGGGAGAGATAGGCTTGTCGGCTCTTTTGGGAGGAGGTGAGAGGAGGGGGCTGGGAGGAGATGGCGGTGAGGGCGCGTTTGAGATCGTTCATGTAGAGCTAGACGTTTGTTAGCAAAGCTCGAGAACCGGATATGAATGACGTACAAGCTCGACAGACTTTCCGTGAGACTTGATATCCAAGATATCCCTATCCATCACATCCCGTCGCACTCCCCAGACTTGACCGACAGTGTTAATCATCTCGTTCACATCCCCATCCCAGATAGGGCTCGGCTTCCTCCTGACTGCGTCAACAGACTGAGCGGAAGGACGTCCAAGACCGACAGGACTCTTTTTTGGCGTGGTAGCCACAGGCGTCGTCAAGTTGCTTGAGGCGCCATCTCCAGCGGGGTTCGGCGACGGCGCGAGCATATAAGATTGGACTTCGGAGCGGAGACGGGAGAGGAGCTCTCTGTCTTTGTCGGTCTGGGCACGGGACATGGGGGAGAAGTGGGAAGAGCGAGGGAGGGTGTTGTAGAGGAGCTGTAAGAGGTGGGACTGGTGCGTGTGCTGGGGTGCGCAGGTGGGAGAAGGAGGGGGGATGTTGGATGTGAAAGCTACCAAGCGTCAGTCTTGCGTGTCTCGTAAGAAGAGCAACTCACCTTCGAGGATAGTCGGAATCTCTCGCAGATTCAAACCGCTTGGCGTCTTGGTGCCCTTCTTGATCATCCCCAAGAACGCCCCCACAGCCGTCTTCCATCCCTGATCACCTTCTTCCCCGCCGAGGATCCCCCAAAACTCGAGCAAAAACTCTTTCGGCAACTTGGACCCTTCCCCCTCAGGCTTGTGCCCTTTGCCCAACGTCCATGCGGAACTCTTTCGACGGAGATTCGGCGGCGGAGTGGTGGGAGTGGTGGGTGTATCCGGGAGCTTGGGGGCAGTGTTGTAAGAGGGCGCGGAGTGGAAGGAGAAGGATGTAAAGCGTGAGCCGTTGGGGGAGGTGCCTGTGAGAGGAGGGGATGGCAGGGGAGGATCTCGAGAGGAAGAATTTGAGCGGATTGAGGAGGGTTTGGGGGTACCAGGGTTGGGGCTGAGGAGGTGGTGGTGGAGTACTCTGCGGCGTGTCAGACCTGCAAGTCTCGGTCGAGGGATACTAACGCTGTTCGAAGAGAATAGAGATAGCTCAGCCTATCGATCTCGTCTGTGAGACCAAAGCCAGAGGCAGAAGAGGCGTTGCTGACGCTCCTCTGCCCCATACCAATACTGGCAGGGGCGCCGAGGGGAGACGGGGGCGGGAGGAGAGCCGAGTGGGTGGTGGAGGCGGTGGAGCTGGAGTAGCTCCGGGTGTTGAGCCGCGGGAGGGGCGGCGGGGTGGCGTGCTGCTGTCTGTGCGCCTGCATCGTGCTGGTGGAGAAGAGGAGAAGAGTGGAGATGAATTGGGTTTCAGCTCTCGACGCGTTGGGAAATACAAACAAACTTCCCACGAGTGGAGGATCGTCAGGCACCATCCCTGTCCCTGGAACTTTATGCATCGCAGTCACCCCTCCCCTTTAACCCGTGTATGCAAGTGTATAGAAAAAATATGCAAACCCTTCCGGCGGCCCGATCTCGCGGTAAGTGAGCGTAAAGCCGGGGCGATCTTGCATGTATCTGCAGCAGAGTCAGCTTGGGCGGGCGAGGAGGCGCGTCGGGGCGTCTGGACGGACCGTTTTCGGAAGTGTGGTTGACCGAAGGTGAAGCTGGGAAGGGTGTCAGCTGCAAGCCAGAGGGGGGGGGATATCGGCTAGACTTACTAGGCAAACTTGGAACCCTCTCTCTTCCTTAGAACTCTGCAGCCGCTCAGCAACATCCAACAATAAAGGGCGGGAAACGCACCTGATAGCCTCGGTGACTTCTTGTGTACACGTCTTGACGTCTTTCTCGGATGGATTCTTGATACAAGTCAGCACAAGGCACTAGAAGATTGATGACAGTACTCACCCAAGGGTCACCCTTCGTCGTGAGCATAGCACTACCGCCCAAAATCAGCGACCTCGAACCAAACACCCAAACACATCGCCAGTCTTTACTCACTCCATAGTACCTACCCTCGAATCAGCTCTTGTCCCCACTGAACTGGATAAGCAGAAACGTACGCACCTTTGTCAACTACGAGATCAAACTCGTCATCGGCGAATTGCAGATTGAGGATATCCATCTCGAGCCACGTCATCTCGGGTCGAGCTTCCGAGTGTCGTTCGCGCATTTGGTCGATGACAGTTTTGGAGTACTGTTCTTGGTATCAGCGCTGATCTCTAGAGCCATCCCATTCAACCCATCAAGCACTCCCCCCCGCACAAAAACCCACATCAATATTAACAACATTCTTCCACCCATGATCATAAAGCACCTCCCCCAACGCCGAGTTTCCACAGCCCAGCATCAATATCCGGGCGTCTTTGCCGTCTTTGCCGGCGGAGGGGATGTTGGAGGTGAGTTGGGTGAAGAAGGGGATGAGATAGGTGGGGGAGAGGAACCAGTCGAAGGTGCGGCCGTCGTCTTCGCTAGGGAAAGATCAGATTAGCTGTTAGATTGCAGAAGGGGGAGAGCTCACGCGGCATATCGTTTCTCCCTATCACCCAAAAGTCCGAAAATCAGCGTGGGAATATATACTTTAGGTAGGGCGCAAGGGGGGAGGAAATGGGACTGACCAGTATTCTTGGGTACCGTAGCCCTCGTTGGTAGGGGGCAGGTTTGCTTCGCTTTCTCTGGGCATTGGGGTCGACTGTCGATTGTTCGGTGGGGTGGTGGGTTTGGAGGCGTAGGCGGGGGGGAGGGGAAGGGAGGGGGGATGTGGATGGTGGGACTGGTGGTGGGGGCGGGGGTGGATGTTTGGGAGTGAGGGAGGTTATTAGGGAAGTGCTGGAAAGATGAGATTGAGATGAGTTGTGGATCTTGGTCAGAAATTCGAGATAAGATTAACGGAAGCAAGTTGGTGATATTTCTGTAATGGCGGCTCCTTGACTGGTTACAAGCTTATTTGGTGAATCTCATCTGAGTTTCGATAAGAGACTTGATTTCAACACCGTTGGTGAAATGGTATCATGCAACTTTGCCATAGTTGCGGCAAGGGTTCGATTCCCTTACGGTGTATTTCTTTTTGAGGATTGTTTTTTTGTCTTTTTGTCTTTTGGTCTTTGGGCTTTGGGCTTTGGGTGTCGTTGTGTTTCTTTTTGGCAACGAGTTTAGTGGGTTTGTAGGGACATTTGGAGGAGGTATGGGCTTTGGTGGGGGCATGCCCGACCTGGAAACAGGGCAGATTCACCATTAGGGCGGAGATGCCCGCCTCCACCTTCCACGTTCCACCTTCTCCTTCTCTCTCCTTGCCGCCGTTCTACATTCTACATCTCATTCCCTGCATCTGTCTATACTCTCACGGTCTCACCCCAACCTCGCCCTTGCCCCCTCGTCCCTCGTCTCTGGCCCCTCCTTGGCTCCCCCTCCCTCTCCGGCTGCCCCTCCTCGGCTCTTCCTCCCCGGCTCGCCCCTCCTCCCGCCTCTCCTCCTTGTTTCCGCCTCTCCGCCCGCCTCTCCCCTTCTCGCAGTTCAGCCTGCTGTCTGCCTCTCGTCCTTTTGTTCCTGCTTTGCCTGCGGCTACCTCGTCCGCCCCTTGGATTTACGACACTGGCGCCGGGCAGCACATGACGGGTGACGCCTCCTGGGTGGAGGGTGTTTGTCCTCCTACTAATCCCGTGGGTGGTAAGGCGTATAATTGTATGTCTCTTCGGTGACTAATATAGGCTTTAGATCTTTAGATCAAGAGGTCAATCGACAAGAAGACCAACCTTTTCTCTCTAGCGGCTGAGATCTTGCCTTCGGGAAACCAGCGTACTTTTCGACTGGCAAGTTCCATTTTGTTTGACCGAGACGTGGCTGACTCAAGAATCAGACAAAAGATGCGCTTCGTACACTTTACGAAAGTGATTCCGAGCAAGACGCTTTGGTGGGTCAATTGCAGAGTGTGACGCCCTGCCACGTACAGTGATTGATACTGATAGTTGACTTTATGGCTAGTGTTGTACTATTCCACCGTCCTCCCCTCCATTCGAGCTTGGATCCGATGATGCGGCCGCTGTCCATGAGCCTCAGCCGGCCCCTACGAAACGCATACACTCCAAGGACGAGCACACCCCCAAGGAACATAACAAGAAATCCAGACCCACCCGTCTGAGCGCCTCCAAGACGTTCCCGGGAACGCTCGGATCCCCTGCGAGGGTGAAGAGAGTTACATAGGGATTGTAAGTCTCATTAGTTCTATGTAATTAGGCTCTATGTAAGGCGAGGTCGAATAGAAGGAAAAAGACAAGACGGCCATACTCGCCAAGTCAATAAAGAACCTCCCTCGCCTCTTGCAACTCCCTCACATCCACAGAGTCCTCGCCCTCGCCTTTACTAGCTCCACTCCAACTCTACTCTGCAATCCATGCCACACCTCCTTCCCCATGCACTTCCTCCACCTCCTCCATTCCACCGCCGTTTCCTCGCTCATCAACCCGCCCGCAGAAAGAACAAGGGTAGATCCTCGGCGCCTTATCCACCACTTCCTCGTCCCTCTTGCTCAGCCATGCCACACACCATCCCTTTTTTTGGAGCAGATATCGTCTCTGGCGGGAGCAGAACCTTTGAACGAACACGACATTATCGTTGGCGCCAGCGTCAGGATGGCTCTCTCACAGCGATGTTGGTGGGCACGCACGTCATCTCCGATGGCGCAGCAGCATTACCCCTTCTCGTCAATGTAAGAAATGTCATTGAGGGTGACTTTCCTGAGAGTGGCCTGGTAGCCTGCGTACCACAGCTCCCCCAGAGTCTTCTGCAAGCACAGAAGTCTCATCGAGCTCATCACCTGGGAGGTTGCCGAGAGGAGGATGCCATCTCATCATCACCCATCCCAGATTGAGCGGTTTCGGCTCGAGTTTGAGCGTCTGCTAAGGCCTTCCTTTTCTCTTTGTCCCTGAGGGTCTGTCTGCGCCTGGCAGCTACCTCTAAAGCAAGTCAGTATGAGTGGTTTATAACATACTGTCTATCCGACCCCCATGGCGTGTCCTGTAATCACCGCTGCACATCTTTGCCAATGAAAAGCCCAGAGTTGAACAAGATCTTGGAACAGGCCGGTTTACTGATACTCTGTACTCTTTATTTCTCCAGTTTGTCACTCCTCTCTCCCAGAGTGAGGAATCTTTTGGTGATGTTGTTACGCCACTTGATGGGTGGTACCTCTGCTTCCATATATTCGACTTGTTCGATAGGCTCTGATGATGCTCCGCTGAATGTTGTGATTTGTACCATTGCAGTTTTGATTGGAGACGGCGTCGAGGGGAGAAGGGAAGGAAGAGGATAATAACGACGACGTCGTTGTCCACATCGAATCGTCTTCTTCACGCCCATGTTGGCGAGCACTTACGTTCTCTCCGAGGGCGCGGTAGCAGGACCCTTTCGCGTCGATGTAAGGGTGAAGAGAGTTACATAGAGCTTGTAAGTCTTATCAGTTCTATGTACTTAGGCTCTATGTAAGGCGATGTCGGACAGAAGGAAAAAGACAAGACGGCCATACTCGCCAAGTCAATAAAAAACCTTCCTCGTCTCTAGCTACTCCCTCACATCCACAGCGTCCTCGCTCTCGCCTTCACCAACTCGATCCCCACCCTACTCTGCATCCCCTGCCACACTTCTTTCTCCATTCCCTTCCTCCAGCTCCTAAGTTCCACGGGTTAGCAGGGTGAAGAGAGTTACATAGATCTTGTAAAGCTCATCAGTTCTATGTACTTAGGCTGTACGTAAGACGATGTCGATACGAGGGAAAAAGACAGGACGGCCATACTCGCCAAGTC